GAAAGAATGCACCAGTCACCTCCTGAAAGAGATCCTAAAATGAAAACTCCCAGGAATATTAAAGCCAAATTCCAGGCCTCCCAGATCAAGAAGAAAATACTGCAGGCAGCCAAAAATAAGCAATTCAAATACTGTAGAGCCAGTCAGGATAACATAAGACTCAGCAGCTTCTCATTAAAGGATGAGAGGGCTTTGAAATTGATATTCCAGAGGGCAAAATAACTAGGATTATAACAAAGTATCACCTACCCAGCAAAACTAAGTACAATCCTTTGGGGGGAAAAATGGATATTCAATAAAATAGCAGACTTTCAAGCATTCCTGATGAAAAGACCAGAAACAATAGAAAATCTGACTTTCAAATACAAGACACAAAATAAGTATAAAAAGGTAAACAGGAAAGAGAAATCATAAGGGATTCGATAAGGTTAAACTGTTTATATTCCTACACAGGAAAATGATATTTATAACTCCTAAAATCTTTCTCATTATTAGGGCAGTTAGAAGGAGTGTACATACACAGAAAACAGGGGTATGAGTTGAATGCGATGGTATGATTATCTAAAAAGAATAAAATTAAGGGATAAGAAAGAATGCACTGAAAGAAGGTGAAAGGGAGAGGCAGAATGGGAATAAATTATCTGACCAAAAAAAACTGAAAGAGATTTTACAGTGGAGCGGAAAGTGGGGGAAGGAACATGAACTTAACTCTCATCGAAACTGGCTAAAAGAGGGGTTGGGTGTTGAAATCTGTCTTATCATGAGAGAAGAAGATGAGAAGCTGACAAAAGGGAGAACAGTTTGGGGGAAGTAAAAGGCCGAGGCAAAACACTTAAGAATGTACAGGATCAAAGGAAAGAAGAGAGTAGGATAAACAGGAAGAAAATAGGATGGAGGGAAACACACAGTTGGTAATCATTACTGTGAAAATTGTTTTTTCTCTGATAAAAACTTCATTTCTCAAATATATAGAAAACTGAGTCAAATTTATAGAAATAAGAGCCATTCCTCAATTGACAAATGGTCAAAGGATACGAACAGGCAGTTTTCAGATAAAGCAATCAAAGCTATCTATAGTCATAGCAAAAAAAAAAAAATGCTTTAAATCACTATTGATGTGAGATGCAAATTAAAACAACTTGGAGCTACTACTTCACACCTGTCAGACTAGCTAATTATGACAGAAAAGGAAAATGACAAATGCTGGAGGGGATGTGAAAAAATTAAAATGCTAATGTACTGTTGGTGAAGTTGTAAACTGATTCAACCATTCTGGAGAGCAATTTGGAACTATGACCAAAGGGCTATAAAACCAAGCACATACTCTTTGACTAAGCAGTACCACTTCCAGGTCTGTATCCCAAAGAGATTAAAAAAAAAAAAACAAAAAAACAAAGAAAGGGACCTAAGTGTACAAAATATTTACAGCAGCTCTTTTAGTGGTGGCAAAGAATTGGAAATTGAGGGGATGTCCGTCATTTGGGGAATGGCTGAACAAATTGTTGCATATGATTGTGGTGCAATACTATTGTGCTTTAAGAAATGATGACTAGCATGGTTTTTCCCTTTTGTTCTGATTTTTCTTTCACAACATGACTAATGTGGAAATACATTTAATATGATCTTGTATTAATAGCCTATACCAGATTACATGTTGCCTTGGGGATGAGGGAGTCGCGGGGGGAGGAATTAGAACTCAAAATCTTAGAAAAGCAAATGTTGAAAACTAAAAATTAATTAATTAAAAGTTTTAAAAAATGATGAGCAGGATGCTCTGAAAAAAACATGGAAAGATTTACATGAACTGATGCAAAGTGAAATGAGCAGATCCAGAAGAACATTGTACACAGTAACAGCAATATTCTATGATGGTGTACTATGAATAACTTAGCTATTCTCAGCAAAACAATGATCTAAGACAATTGTGTAGGACTTAGGATGAAAAGTACTGTCCATCTCCAGAGAATGAACATGTACAGTCTGAATACAAATCAAAAAGATACTTTTTCTTTACTTTATTTTTCTTGGTTTTTTTCTGTTGTTGTTGTCGTTTTGTGTGTGTGTGTGTGTGTGTGTGTGTACCTGTGTTTTCTTTCACAAAATGACTTACATGGAAATGTATTCTGCATGAGTGCACATGTTCAGTCTATGTCAAATTGCTTGCCTTCTCGATGGGGAGGCAAGGAAGGGAAGAATTTGGAATTCAAATTTGAAAACAAAAATGTATGTTAAAATTGTTTTTACATGTAATTGGGAAAAAAGAAAATAAAAAAAGAAGAAATTACATTTAGACCAATACTTCCTAATTTATACAAAGATAAGCTCTTAATGAAGAAGTGACCTAGATATAAAGGTTACCGCATAAACAAATGAGAGAAGCATGGAAAAATTACCTATCCAGATCTATGAGGAGGAGAAAAATTCATGGAAAAACAATGAATAGAAAGAATCACAGAAAATAAAATGGATAATTTTAATAACATAATATTAAATATTTAATATTTGTGAAAAAAATCCAATAAAGTTAAAATTAAAGGGACACAATAAACTTGGAAAAAAATTTTTGCAGTCATTTCCTCTAAAAAAGGTATCATTTCCAAGATATATAAAGAACTTATTCACATTTTTAAGAAAAACAGCCATTTGATAATTGTTCAAGGATTGAAGAGATTTGATAATTGTTCAAGGATATGAACAGAATTCTCAAAGCTAAGAAAGAGACAGTCTATAGCCGTATGAAAAAATGTTCCAAATCACTAATTAAGAGAAAAGCAAATTAAAACAATTCAGAGATTCTACATTAAGTCCATTAATGCGAAATATGACAAAAGAGAAGTGATAAACGTAGAAGGGATTGTAGGGGAAAAAGACACATTTGTTCCCTGTTGTGGACCTGTGAATGGGTACATTTTGGAAAGCAATTTGGAATTAAACACAAAAGGTTACTACGTCCTCTGACCCAACTTCTACCACTTTTAGGCTTATAGTAAAGAAGTCCTGAGTTCAAATTTGGCCTCAAATACTGTGTTACCCTGGGCAGGTCACTTAACTTTTATCTCCCTCAATTTACTGAACTTTAAATGAGTATAATAGCCGCACCTGCTTCTCAGGGTTGTTGTGAGGATCAAATGAGATAATATCTGTAAAATGCTTAGCACAAGTACTAGCACATAAGTGGCACTTAATAAACGTTTATTCCAATTCCTTCTCTTCCCCCATATTAAAGAAATGAAAGAAAGAAGAAAAAGTACAATTTGTGTAAAAAAAAATTTTTTTATAGCAGCTTATTTGGTGATGGCAAAGAACTGGAAACAAAGGGATGTTCATCAGCTGAGAAATGGCTGAATAAGTTGTGGTATATGAATGTGGTAAGAGTATTCTCCTGTAAGAGATGAGGAAAATGGTTTCAAAAAGACATGGAAAGATTCATATGAACTGATACTGACTGAAGTAAACAAAACCAGAAAAAAAAAAAACAATTCAATGATTAAAGGACTTCTATAACCTGATAAAGAATGAAATAATAGAATCAAGAGAATTGAAAGCTTTAAGAATGAAGATCAATGCAATAACCATTCATGATTCCAAAGGACCAATGATGAAAAAAACTCCATTAAAGAGAGTTGATGGATTTAGGGTATAGAATAAGGCAGATAGACAAATAAATAAATCTACATAGGTATCTATATTTGCAGATATAGAGTGATATACAAATGTATAGCTCTATCAGGCTACATACAAATAAGTAGATATTTGTACAAAACCATTAAGAGAATGTGTTTTGCTTGACTAAGTTTATTTGTTAAAATCTTTTTTTTTTCTTTTTCTTTTCCCAATAGAGAGGGAGTAGGAGAGAAAACAGATATCTGTTCATTTGAAAAATATATGTGGAGGATATCATAGACATGAAATGTTGAATATACTTTCAGATGAAGTCACTGTATTATTAGCTTTACTTAACTGTTTTATTTCATTAAGGCAATAATCTGAAAATGTTTGTAATGTAAAAACAATACATAAAGCTTCAAAAATGTAAAGTAGGTTGAACAAAGCTAAGAAATCAGTATGTAGTTATAAATATTCATTTTCTGAGAACTGTTTGTAGAGCTATTATCTTATACTGATTAACTAAAATCCAACACTTATAAGATGTCTTTCTAAGCCTTAAGATCATATTATGGGAAATCAGGTCTGACCAGCTATTTACTATGACACAGTAGACAGAAAGAGAGAAGACAATTCATTTTAGAACTTCTTGTCATGGAGATTCCATGCCTAAAAGTTAAATGAATAATACACAGCTTAATATGCTGCAGAAGATAAAAGGAATTGACTAGGCATGGGCTTATCATGGGAGTGATCCATGTTATACAGATTTTTGCAAGGTTCACAAGAAGAAAATAGACTTGAGCTTAAGGTGTGTAATAGCTGACTTCTTGGGTATGAGCAGCTAATAATGTTGAATGAGATGCTACCTTCAGTTTCCACGTTGCTCTACTTTTAGGTCCATGAATAAAGTTTTGGTGGGATGATGAGACCTAACACATTTCTTAAATCTTTAAACTTAACTTGCATTTAGTTCTTTGTTATATTAGATACTTAAGTTTCTTAGTTAAAACAGCAGGCACTGACAAACCAAAGATAATTGATGATATAACTTATTATTAAAATATGTAAACATTTTTAAAGGAATAAAGTCACTTGACTTCAGTGGACACTCACCAGAAGCGGTGTGGACATGGTACCCTCTTTGCAGCTTTACTTCACCTTACTCCCTTCAGAGGAGAAGGAAGCAGGGGTAAGAGGCATTTTCAGGTTGAGAAGACTGCTCATGAGGAGATGTGAAAGTACAGTCAGGAGCAGTGCTACAAAAGAATGTTGTTCCTCCTTCCTTTGTGAAAAGGACCAATGACACCAGGGAATTATGTCTTGAATCTTGAGTGAACTGGATTTAAGTGAGACAAGTAGCACAAAGTCTTCAGCCTCACTCTCTTCTCCAGAGTTATGGAGTCCAATGGCAAGACAAAAGTCAGGACGACTGGTGATGTGTACATAGAACACCAGGAGAGAATAAAGAAAACCGAACACCAAACAAAACAAAATAAAAACCCTTAATGTTTCTAACTCCAAGTTATATCATATTAAATTTTAAAATTCCAAAGAAAAATAAAATCTATAAGCAGACAGAGGACCTTCAAATATAAGGGATGGGACATCTGAATAGCATTAAATATATCCTGTACCTACTAGAAATGACATAAAGGAATGAATTAATATATTCAAAAATGCAAAAGATGCAAATGAAAATGACATAATCTGCAAATCTGGGTCAGATCACCAATGACAAAAGAAGGACTACCAATAGAAGAAAAACATTTGAAACATTTGCTTGGAGAAAACATTTGTTTCCCACAAAAGCAAAAATAAAAAAAAAAAGTGTGAGCATACTTACAAACAACAGAAACACAAAGTAAATAAAGACAACTATCAAAGAAAGTGTCTTTTTTTTTAATAGTCTCTAGAGAGAGGGACATTTGTCTCATTTCTTATCTTTTCCTCAGTAGATATCTTAAAAAAAATCATTAAGAGATGTCTTTTTAAAAGTACACAAGAGAATAAAGATGCATCATCTCCTAGTAATTTATATTACTGCAAGATGTATCATTTGCACATTAATGTTTTTCAAGGTATAAGTTCACTCATCATATATGCAGAGAATGTAACATATTTCAATAGTTAAAATTAAAAATGAAGACAGAAAATGTTACTGAAATACCAAATAAAGGTTGAAAAATGTAAATAACTTACCTTGCAATTTCTTTTTAAATACTGGTCCCCATTTCAAGTTCTTCAATCATATTTGTCTAGTACGAATATCCTGAAAAGTAACTGGAATACTCTAGGGCAAATGTTTGTGCAATAAATAGCAATATATTATTAACAAAACCATGAATATATAAAATGTTATATCATCAAGATACTGATTACATATTATATATTGTATGTTACATATATACCCATATATACAAACACTAAACAGAAATTTTTAAGCAATATCTTTGAAACATTTTCCTTATAGTTTCTTTTATAATTTGAAAACAAAAACTAAATTTCCAATAGTTCACAGGGAAGGGGGAAGGGGAGAGAAAAAGCATTTATATAGCACATATTATATGCGAAGCACTTTATATTTTCTCATTTGACCCTTATAAAAATCTTGAAAGGCAGGTGCCACAATAATCCCCATTTTAGTTAAGGAAACCAAGGCAAACAAAAGTTAAGTGACTTGCAAGGGTCACACAGCTAGGCAATGTCTGAAGTGGCATTTAAACTCAGAGACCACTTCTCTATCCAATACACCAATTAACTGACTAAAGGCACATAGAATTTCATTAAATTTTTTTCTGGAACATCGTGTGACAATTTAGCATTTGTACCGTAAACAATTACATATAATTCTGAGAAAGCCACATCAGACAGTTCATCATGATGCCTTTAGCAGAACTATCTCTGACCTTCAAAAATGAGAAAATGCTTGGGGGATCAACCCAAGGTAACAACAATTCATTTGAAAGCAGGAATATGAATACACACACGAGTGTATATACATACATGTACAGATACACACATACATTTGTCACATATGTATATCCATGTATATAAAACATATATGTGTGTATAAATAATCTCTTTTCTTGGACCAGCACTATAGTAGTTTTATCATTCTGTCCCTTCCCAAAACCTCCTGGTCAGCATTAGTACCTCCAAACCAAAGTGTTAATTTTGATAGTAATAACACTAGATATTGTAACAGTGAACCAAAAAGAAAGATTTGAATAAAGCTTGAAATTTATAATATGTATTTTTAAAAAATTATTTAATACCTTTTATTTTGATAGCTCTTTTATTTCTGAACATATCCCTCCATGTTGAGTCCTTGTAATAATTAAGGAAAAAAAAAAACTCAACCAGTGTATGAAATATTCCAATAGTTCTACTCTCTGTGAAAAGAATTTCTATTTCAATTCTCCAGAAAATTAATGATCTCACTGCAATTGACTATGTCCATCATATCTGGTAAATTTCAAACTGGATTGGACTCTTCAACTCCATTTCCATATATTAAGGAGGATTCAATATGCCTAAAGACTTAACAGTGACTGCCACTTTTAACATGTTGACACTGCCCCAAACCAAATATAGGTTAATTGTATATCTGGGATTTCAATGTCCTTGTCATACAGGGTTCTTCTGTGACTAATAACTGCACTCTTTGAGTGATCAGAAAAAAACTGGATTTGTGGAAGCAAGTAAAGGATAATAAATGAGACTGGAAAGGTAGGAAAGGGCAAGATTTTAAGAGCTTTAAAAACCAAAAATATGATTTTACATTTGATGCTGGAAGTTAGACAGAGCTCCTGGACTGCACTGAGTAAGGAGGTGGAGAGTGGAGGAGGTGGTGACATGACTAACTTTAGGCAATGGAGAACTCCTTCAATGGATTTTTATATTGCAGGGGCTCAAAGTTTAGTTATCCTGGTTGTTCTCCCTAGACTCCTCATATCCCCTGGCTAATAATGATAATAATAATAATAATAATAATAATAATGGTAGTAAAAATAATAATTAGTATTTATATAGTATTTACTATATTCCAGGAACTGTGTAAAAACCTCACAAATATCTCATTTGATTCTTACAATATCCCTGAGAGACAGGTACTGTTACCATCCCTATTTTATAATTAGGGAAACTAAGGTAAACTAAGGATAAGTGACTTGCTCAGGGTCACACAACTAGCAAGTTAACTTGGGTCAAATTTGAACTCGGGTCTTCCTGACTTCCGGCACGGAGCGCATCACTGTCCTTAAAATGGAGGGCTGGAATACTCCCAAAATAGTCAGACCAAAGCAAAATCCAATGGGGCTGTCTCACTGAAAACAGCCCAGGAGCCCAGGGTTTCAAACCAGCACTAGGGAAGGGAGGGGGCTTAAAATGACAAAGGTGACCTCACCCATTCTCTTCACAAGAGAATCAAGGAGACCAAGAAGGGGAACGGGAACCACCCAGGGTCACGTGGCTCCCCAAGGGTGGGGGTGGCTCCCCAAAGGTGGGGGTGGCTCCCCCCCCCCGAGAGCTTCAGGCCCGCGCAGGCGCACAGCCTCCCAGAACCCTGGGGCGAAGGGAAAGCGATGGCCTCATTCACCCGATGGACTCGCCACACTATTATGGTGGCCGTGTCCTGGGTGATGCTACCCAGAGCTGTGAGGTGTCCACTAACCTGGAGGCCATAGTGATTGAAAGCCACCGAGTCCCATGAATAAGAAGGCCGAAGAAGCTGGTGGCAGCCCTTCCCGAGCATTGCGCTGCTATCACCTCAGAGAAAAACAAAGGCTGGGCCTGCCTTTCTGCGCAGGCGCAGACTGATTTAGTGTGTTCAACCCTGATTGGCCGAAATCGTTCTTTCGTCATGGGAAAGGGCGGGGCCGAGAGGGGCTGGCAGCAAACTCGCAAGGAGCAAATATATTTACTGAGATGGCATAATGAGCACAATAGTAACATAATATTCCCCCCCATAAACATGGATCACGCTGTCCCACAACTACACATGTAATCAGCGAGTAGAGTAGGCACACAAATAAAGTACAATATTCAAGACAAAATCTATACACTGGGAGGGGAATATATGTGGCCATGGAACTCACAACTCCCGGACTGCAAGGCCCTGATATTCTTTCCATTCCTTATACTTCTACTGTGGGTTTCTGCGGAGAACATGGCTCAGATGGTTTATTCCTCTTCTTAACTCAAGTAATGACAGCTGAGGATGACTCTCGTCTTGGCTCAGAGCTATATCCTGCCTCAACTGATGTGACTGACTGCCTATTTCCTACTGGCTATAGTGTCTCCGGCTGAGAGAGTAGCTTCATTTTAAGACAGCACAGCCAAAACGGAGAGAAGAGAGAGAAAGTCTTTTTAATCCCCGGAGAGGTGAGGAACTATGTCTTCTCAGTGGCTAGGTTCTTCTTCAACACAAGCTTTTCATGTCATCAATTTCTTAGGAAATCATCTTCCAGAGTCCATTTGCACTGTGGCAGAAGTATCCTTATGCTTGTCTGTGGTTCGGAAACAAAATTGCAATGAGCAACCTACATTCACATCAATTGTACTGATATAATATTGTTGTGTATTTATTGAGTATTGAATATAAAAATGAAATTTTGTACAAATACTTTTTAAATTTTTTGTTAAATTTAGCATATCCAATGGGTCATTTATTAAATATTGGAAATGAATAGTATAAGAAAATGATGGAAAATGTGTAAATTAGGAATTGCAAAATAGCCATTCAGATTTAACACACTGTGATCAGCAAATAAGCAAAAATCATCTCATAGATCATAATTCTAAAATAATACACAAAGATATTCAAAGTACCTGTATTACAATGGGTAAGAGAAAAGAAAAGAAATATGATGAAGAATATGTTAATTTCAGTTTTCTACTCCTTGGAGACAATGAATATCTATGACTACAATGTATAATTTGTGGTTTTTATGAACAGTAGCTTAAAATGTTCTCTTTTGTCTCAATATTTGTAATCAAAAATTGAAAGCTATGTTGCTTTTTTTAATAGAAAGAACAAGATTAAACATATGCAGTATTAATTAATTTATTTTTGTGAATAAACAAAAAAATAGAAAAGGGATTGAGACTTCATCTTTAATAAATTATTAAACTGCAAAAAATAGGGAAGCTCATACCATTGCAGAAAAATCAATTTTTCAGTGTGCCACAACAAATGTCAAGTATTGGAGATGATTCTGTTAAGTTAGAGATGATATTCATTTCTGACAATACAGTGTCTCATTGACTGTGATATGTCTGATAGTGAATCGTTTTTGATATTGAATCATTTGTTGTCAATGAAATTCCAAAAAGTAGCATTTATACTTTGCAATTAGATGATACATCTTATGTTTGCAACATAGGAATTTAAATTGTATTTATAAGATATCTTCATGATGGTAAAGTGGAAGAGAATACACTGCTAATATTATCAGTTGATATTACCTACAACCTGGAAAAAAAATTTTTAACTGATTATTTGTACTTTGAAGGAAAAAAATAATTAGTCTTCTTGTGGAATTTGCACAAATGGAACAAAAGCAATGACTGGAAATTTGGGGAGTGTTGTTTTGCCTATTAAAAAATTAACACAAATATAGGAGGTACACATTGCAGAATACACAAACAAGTTTTAGCATTAAAGAGAATGCCACAACTTAAAAGCTTGTTAAATGATACTATCAAAATAATTTTATAAAATCAAAACCCACTAATCATTTACCATTTTATGTAGCAATACAAACAGTAAGCATGTTACACTTCATACACCGATGTTAGTTAGGTGGCTTTCCCATGGCAGAGTTATTACTCATGTATTCGAATTAAGAAAAGAGTTACTTGTCTTCTTCAATGACCATCCTTTTCACTTGAGTGAATGTACAAGTGATATGACATGGCCACAAGGATTAGATTATTTAGTATTCATCTTTTCAAAAATTAACTAATAATACATTATTACAGGTCCAAATGCAAACATCTTCAATATTTAATTCAGTAAAAAAGCAAGATTAACAAAGTAAAATTTTGAAGCCATGAAACTAAGAACAGTACTTAGTGCTTTGTTACATTACATAATTTCTTTTTTGGAAAATGAATCATCATTGATAAATGGCCAAAGGATATGAACAGACATTTTTAGAAGAAGAAATAAAAAGTATCTATAGTCACTAAATCTCTAAATCACTATTTATTACCGACATGCAAATTAAAACATCTATGAGGTACCACCTCACACCTATCAGATTGGCTAGCATCACAGAAAAGGAAAATGATCAATGTTGGCAGAAGGTGGAAAAATTGGCACACTAAAGCACTGTTGGTGAAGTTGTAAACAGATTCAACTATTCTGGAAAGCAATTTGGAACTATGCTCCAAAGGCTATCCAACTGTGCATACTCTTTGACTGAATGATACCATTATTAGATCTATAATCCTAAAGAATAAAGGAAATAAAAAAAGATTTATATGAACAAAAATATGTATAGTAGCTCTTTTTCTGGTAATAAAGAATTGGAATTTGAGAGGATGTCCATCAATTGTAGAATGGATGAACAAATAGTGGTATGTGATTACGATGGAATACTCTTTTGCTGCAAGAAATGACAAGCAAGATGCTTTCAGAAAAACCTGGAAAGACTTACATGAACTGATGCAAAGTGAAGTGAGCAGAACCAGGAGACCATTGTACACAGTAACAGCAATATTGTATGATGGTGAACTTTGAATGACTTAGCTTTTCTGATCGATACAATGATCCAACACAACTCCAAAGGACTTTTGATGAAAAATAATATCCACATCCAGAGAGAGAATTTATGAAGTCTGAGTGCAGATTGAAGCATAATTTCTTTATTTTCTTTATTTTTCTTGCTTAATTTTGCAACATGGTTAATATGGAGATTTGTTTTGCGTGATTTTACATGTATAATTGATATTATCTTGCTTGCCTTTTCAATGGGTGAGGAAGGGGCAGGAGGAAGAGACACAATTTCAGCAAATTGGATTAAAAATTATTTGATTTTTTAAAATATCTATGGCTTATGAATTGACACTAGATAAAAAAATTTGAAAATTTAATCGACATATCAATGGATATTTTACTACAAACTTCATGACAGCTTTATAAATTTTTGGCTAAAACTCTTTTAAAAATGAATCTCCTCTCAGCAAAGAAGCGTGTAAAATTCTCCTATTTTCCTTCCCATATTTGTGTGAATGAGAATTTTTAATTTTTTCTTATTTAAAATCAAACTATAGAAATAAATTTAATGCCGAACCAGATTTAAGATGCTCTGGTGTTAAGCTAGATAAATGGGTGAAATAATTCAGTTTCCAACAGTATCTTCACTTGTGGTTTACTAAACAAGAATGTTAGAGTACCACTAGCTAATGTTTACAAATAGTCTAAAAAACAATGTGATTCTTAGCACTTTATTTCCTTTCCCCCTATTCTCACTAATATTACCACTGACGATAAAGGGAGCTGCCTATGAACTATGGTTATCTTGTAGTTTTATTTGTTTCATTTGTTGTCACGGCCAAAAAATATTCTTACTTCCTGGCCAAAACTTGTGATTAGCCTCTCTACTTATCTAGCCTATTTCTTGGGAAGTAAACACAGTCTGTTGGCAGGACCATAATCAAAGCCCTTCCAACAGGTAAAAACCTGCTAGCAATTTTGTCTACTGGCATATATTTCAAGAATCAGAGTCACTCCCATGCCAAAATGAGGCATCAGAATTGGACTTTGCACATTCAAAACAGAACAAAACAAATAAATAAACAAAAAAGGATATCTCTTTAACAGAAACAACAAATAGACCTTTAAATCAATTCCAGTAAAGTTAGGACTGCTGCCAAATTACAGCCTAGACCTTGAAACATCGATGTAACTTAAATTACATTTTTTTTTGCCTTAAAAAATCAGTGTAGCTGACATAGGTTCCCACAGTGAGTCATATCACCCCCTGGGGGGTGCTGGAATGATCCAAGGGGGTGGTGAGTAAATTTTTTTTTTTTGAAAAAGGGGTATTATGCCAAATAAGTTTGAGAACCTCTACATTATGTAAGTTTCTCATGACTTTGATTCTTTTTACTTGTACCCTTATGGTAACTAGCATATAGTAGGTACTTAATATTTGTTGATTGATTGATTAACCTTGCACACCCATATGATCTTTGAAAGATCACAGCCTGATCTTGATCTAATGTAATACATGAGGGGGAGTTAAGTAACACTGTGGATAGAGTGCTGGGCCTGGATTCAGGAAGCCTCATCTTCCTGAGTTCAAATCTAGCTTCAGACACTTACTAGCTGTGTGACCCTGGGCATCACTTAACTCTGTTTGACTCAATTTTCTCATATGTAAAATTAGCTGAAGAAGGATATGGTAAACCACTATAGCATCTCTGCCAAGAAAACTCCAAATGGGGTCACGAAGAGTCAGACATGACTGGAAATGACTAAACAACAAGACCCACAGGATCCATAAACAATTATCCCAGACCTTTCCCAGTGGGTCATAAACTTCAAAATTAATCTGCTTCAGTTCATCTCCCCACCTGATCACCTCAGGAATTCCTGTCCTTACTTTGTGGGTCTCTAGTACACCACAACTCACTGCTGCATTCTTGGACAGCACCATTCCCATCTCTCTGCAGTTTCACCTCTTTCTTTTTCTGTCTTTCAGCCCTGCATGGAAGTCTGTTGCACAGGTCTCACTGGGACCTTAGACTTCTCCTCATGCCAGGCCT